CACGTACCCACTCCTATTCCGAAGACAATTTGGTAGCCGATGTACTTTGCTGGCGAGGCATCCAGACCAAGCGTGTACAAAAGGCCGGCGCCCACTGTGAGGAAGATGGTGCCGACTGTCAGGGGTATTTGAAAGAACTTCACGTAGCGGATGCCGTAACTGCTAACCAAAGTCGCGATTGCTGTTTAACGTCAGCGGACATTCCAAGAATGGGATCGATCGTCTTACACGAAGAGAGAATAAGTGGGAGATTCCGAATGCCACTCATGGCGGGCGAGGCCCCATCGATGGCTTGGAAATATATCGGTAAGTAGTAAATCATGAGGAAATTGGCCGCGTTCATGCTAAGGGACGTCAGTAAAAGCCTCAAGCTTGGTAAAATAGCAGTTTACACACAAGAATATGAACAGGCTGCACACGAGAACGACCCGAGAGCGCAGGATGCGAGGAATCACGAGCGACCTTTCCTTCTGCCACCATTCAAGGACAGCAAACACGATCGTCAGGACGACCCAGCCAACGAGAGTGCCAATAACGTCTCTCGAATTCCATGATTTGCTGATACCGCCCCATTGAAGGGCGAGTATGTAGCAAATCAAGCCGGAAAGGATGGCCATGGTGCCAGCCGGGTCCATTTGGAGCAAGATCTCCTTCCATGTCGCCTGAACCGGCTTCGCGGTACTCGGAGTGCGGAAAAAGAGCAGCAGAAGAACAAGCGCAACGCCTCCGATGGGAAGATTGATGTAAAAGCTTTACAGTGTGAGCCGTTGCAACGACAAATGGACAAGGTGACATACCACCAACGCCAGGAGACTTTTTCGGCAAAGGCGCCGCCCAAAAGTGGCCCGGCGACACTGGCCAAGCTAAAGACCGCACCGATAAGACCGACATACGCAGGCGTCTTTTCGGGAGGTGAAGAGTAGGCAATAATAATATAGCAGCCTCCAGTGATGCCAGCGCCGCCGACACCAGTCAGAGCACGACCGACAATGAGGACAGTACTGTTGGGGGCAGCTCCTGAATTCTTCTTAGCTGACTCTGCTGGGCAACTTTTTGCTCCAAGTACTTACCGCACATGACACTGCCGGCCTCGAAAAGTATCACAGCCGTAAAAAACGTAAGTTTCAAAGGAAGATACTTGTAAGCCTTGCCCCATGACGACTGGAATACGGCCAACGTCAGAAAAAATGCGGAGCCGTACCACCCAACATGATCGAGGCGATGAAACTGATCAGTGATCTTTGGGATCGCTGTAGCCACAATGGTCTTTGCCGTACCGGTCAGGTCAGCCTGGAGCAAAAAAACAAAAAAACAAAATTTTTGCCTCGGTGTTGAGGCTTGGGGGTCAAGTTACCATGTCTAGTGCGACCTGTGTTGTTCGGCGTCAGCGGTGAGGCTTGAAAATACGGCGTCGTGCTTATGCCACTTACGAGGAACATGCTCAGCAGCAACGCGCAGAGGATCATCGCCAAAGAGAATCCATTTGGATAGCTCTGCGTGTCGAGGCTGAGAGCTGAAATCTCGTCTTTCTCAAGTGGACTGATCGCTTCGTCGATCGAATTCGAAGTCGGCACTTTTGGCGCATCGAAGTCCGGCTCTGCGTCATCATGCACTGGCTTGATGGAATAGTCGGAGCCTTTGGCAGACACGGTTGCGGACATGATGGTCGAGAGGAAAGCTGAATGTTGGGGAAAGCAATTGGGAGTGCTGGTGAGTACGAATAGTTCACTGGAACCCTCGATCGAAGTCCTTCATCTTTGTATTTTTTGATTGACGTTAGGAGCAAGCTTAGACGGGGTCTTCGCTTTGGGCTCGACCTTTCTCTTTGTGCGACGAAATATGTCTGCTCCCGACAAGCTTTGATCTGGACCGATGCATTCCCCAGCCACGTTCCGACAGTGTCGAATCGAGCGATCGAGAGGCCTTGGCTCGACACACAAAGGATACTTGCATGTTGTGCTTTGCCACCCCCAACAACAACAATGCAAGCACCCGACACAAGGAGCAGAAGAGCAGAGTTGCCTAGAGACTCCTGTGCACAATCAAAAAAGAAAGCAAGGTGGAAGGCGCACATCGATTTACCGAGCCTTTGAATGATCCAGACTTTTTTCAAGTGGCGACCAGAGTAATGGCTGAATCCAAGGCAGAGTGCAAACCGTGGCTATGCTGGAATTGGGACATCGCGGAGAGAGAGGCTCCTTGCGCTCAACTGCGACAAAGAAGGATCACCTCTTCGAAAGACTTGAGCCAGCCTGACGTGTCACAATCCCTTCGAATTTCTTCTCATGAGAGGAAAGCTGTCATTCCACAGTGATGGTTCTCGATCTTCCTTCAATACCCATGAAAAACTCAAAGCTGCTTACTCCAACAGTCCGAGGTCGATTTCGACCTCGGTTCTTCAACCAAAGACACTGAAACAATTTAATATCGACGGAGGTGGCTTCGGAGATGAGTACTGATTGAAATGCAAATCTTCTGACTCTTGAAATTCGGCGCTTCATGTTATGGACGCCATTTGGCTCAAGACAGCGACGACATAGCCACTCAGGTCTCAGGTCCGAAGGAGCTTAGCTGAGATATCGAAATCAACACGAGGACAATGTTGGTATGGCTGTGTGGAGTACCTGACTGAGATGGCAAACGCTCGAGTTTTGGCGGTTGTCATGGGGCCAGGGGCGAATTCGATCAAACTCCACATCGAGAAGAAGAATGGCTTAAATATGTGCAAGACAATGGTGGTAAGTGAGTTAAACGTTCTGCACCTTTCGTTGAAGTTAGCAGAGATCACTTTGTCTTCATTTCTATCATGATTCGTACCATCTGTTTGCCTTGGGTGGCTTTTGCGTTGCTCCTATTCAACCTCCATTTTTCGATTGCCATACCCCCCAAAGACCCAAAGTCAGCATGTCGCTGCATGCCTGGAGATGAGTGCTGGCCAAGTGTGAAAGACTGGGCACAACTCAACAAGACTGTTGGCGGAAAATTGATCTCCAATATTCCTCTCGCACATGTCTGTCATGACCCATTTTACAACCAGGAGGACTGCGATTACTTGAAGGAGCAATGGGCGTTTCCTCTCGTGCAGTACGCAGACCGCCCCCTGATCCGAGAAAGCTGTCTAACATATCCAAGCGAGACTTCAAGCACAAGCGTCATGATGCCCTGGTTCCAGAACGGGAGCTGTGATCCATTCACGCCTCGAGAGCAACCATGCGAGCTGGGAAATTATCCAGACTACTCGATTGACGTTTCTTCCGCAGACGACATTGCAGCTGGCGTCAAATTTGCGCAAAAGATGAACATTCGCTTCTTTGTGAAGAACACTGGCCATGAGTATGGAATGTTCCAGGACATCTGCGTATTGTGAGCTGATTCTTTCCAGTTTTCTTGGGAAAAGTGTAGGAAATGGCGCCCTCAGCCTGTGGACCTCAAACATGAAGTCGACTCAAGTAATCAAAAAATACAAGAGCAGTTACTACAACGGACCTGCTCTGAAGATGGCCGCTGGTGTCCGTGGAGCCGACGTGTATCCAGTTGCCAAAGCAAATGGGCTCGTTGTCGTTGGTGGTAGTTGTCCTTCAGTTGGACTTGTCGGCGGATTCACACAAGGTGGCGGCCACAGTATTCTGACCAGCAGCTTCGGTATGGGAGCAGACCAAGTCTTGGAATGGGAGGTCGTCACTGCCGATGGGAGACGTATCACTGCAACGCCAAAAGAGAACAAAGACCTCTACTGGGCTCTCAGCGGCGGCAGTCCTGGCGCTTTCGGAGTCGTTGTCTCCATGACGGTTCGCGCCTACAAAGATCGCAGGTTTGGCGGTGCTGCCTTGAGTTTCACTTCTTCGGGAATCACAAACGACACATTCTGGCAGGCTTTCAGCTCATGGCAAGCCCATGTCCCGGCGATAGTCGATTCAGGGGCCAGTGCCACGTACCTACTATCCGCCAACTTGTTCCTCATTCAGCCCCTGACCTATCCGGGTGCAACGGAGGACCAGACCCGGAATCTACTGAAGCCATTCACGGATAACTTGGATCGGCTGAAGGTCGCTTACTCGCTCAACGTCACTTCTTACTCAAACTTTCTCGACCACTACTCTTTGTATCTTGGCCCCCTGCCGGGAGGTGTGTACCCCGTCGATCGTCTTATGGGCGGACGCCTGATACCCCGCGAGGCTGTCACAAAAAACAATGAAGGAGTCGTCGAAGCCCTGCGATTTCTCGCAGAAAATACGAACGCCTATCTCGGTTTCTCGGCCATCAAGTCAAACGCCAAGATGGCGGTCGCCGCAAACGCCGTGCTCCCGCAGTGGCGCTCGTCCGTCATCACTTCTCTTTTGCAAACGCTGTGGAACTTTTCGGCCCCGCGCGAAGCCAACGTCGCACAACTAAACGAACTCAACGAAGTTGTGGTACCGAAAATAACGGAAGTGACTCCAGGCTCTGGTACCTATCTTAATGAGGCCAACTTTGCTCTTCAGACGTGGAAAGAGGACTTTTACGGTGTCAACTACGAGAAGCTGCTTCGAATTAAAAAGAAGTGGGACAACAGAGACCTGTTTTACGGTCCAACAATGGTTGGAAGCGACGCTTGGGTGGTTTCAAGCGATGGAAGGCTTTGTCGGTCGTAATTCTCTCTACATGTGTTTTTTGAACTCGGTGGTCCTCTGTCGCTCGTTTTGATTCCTATAATTGCATTAATTTCTTTGCTGCCATGCTTTGTTTCTCCTTGTTTGTGGGAATGAAGTTTTTGGGGGCAACGCAGCGAGCGCAAACACCTCAACAAAGAACACAATCAGCATCCGCAACTCATGAGCCGCAGATTACCTTTTTGACCATCTCGAATCGACCAGCCAATGATGCAGAGGCTCGTTTGTGGCCGGATCTGTTCACGGTCCGTGCGCGTCACCAAAAAAATCTCATCACCACCGGGCCCCCCAAAACCGAACCACACCACACCACCACACCCAACAGAACAAAAAGACATTTGTCGGGATTTGAGCCCAACGCGGGGGTCGAACCCGCAGCCTTGAGATGTCCTCGATCACTGCATCTTGAAGAGCTGGTGAACTAAGAGTCTCACGCTCTACCGATTGAGCTAGCCGGGCGGCTGTTTGATGAAAGCGGAACAAAAAAGACAGCTTGTATACTAATCAAAAAGACATCCAATTTGCTACCTGACATTTCTGTACATTTTCACCACTTCATGGAAGCCCTTCCAATTTGGCGAGACAAGAGACCTGACCTGGAATCACTTCCGCAGATATCTGAGAGCTTACCAAGCGAACTCTCCGCCCTCGATGGTTGGGAAGCGGCCGGAAGTCTTGTCCTTGGTGGCACCGTCGATGGTGGAAACAACGTAGTTCACCGAGTCCTCGATTGTAGTGGTGGCCTCCTTGAGGCCGAACATGGCGGCTCCGGCATTGCCCATGTCGGTCTGGACGAAGCTTTTCACTCATTAGAAGATGCATCAGAGGCCAAAATTTATGCGGAGCTTACCCAGGGTCGACAGGGAACGAGGAAATGTTGGCATGCTCGAAGTGGATCTTGCGGAGAATGTAGTGAAGCACCGCCTTGGAGATTCCGTAGGCAGACATCTGGAAGGGACGGCTCTCCATGTTGCCAATAGAGCCAATGGGGGAACCAAGCGCCACGAACTTCGGGTTCTTCGACTGGTTGAGGAGAGGGAGGACGGCCTGGAAGAGGAACAAGGGTCCGTATGCGTTGACGGCAACGTGCTGCTTGATGACGCTGCCGGAGAGTGTCGCAATTGGAGAGGAGTCGTCAGAGATGCCCGCGTTGGCGATGACCACATCAATGTGATTGATGCCTTTGCTGAGCAGGAGCTGCACGGCCTTTGCGGGGCCCTGCTCGTCACTGCTGTCGAGAGGAACCACGACAAGGCTGCTCCCCTGTCCCTTGGGAAGGTCGTTCAGAGAATCGGCCGAAGCGACATTGCGAACGGCAGCAATGACGGTGGTGTTGTCGCGAGCAAGGTAGGTCGCGGTTAGGCCTTTTCCAATACCTGCGCTGCATCATCAGTTCCGATTCGACTTTGCAAAAATGGGTCAGAGTAGGAAAATACCTCTGTTGGCACCAGTGATCAAGTAGACAGTGTTTGCTGACATTTTGGACAGAGGAATGAGGTTTTGGCGTTAGTTGCAGCTTTTGGATTGTCGAAGTCTTTAACGTCGGTTGATCAGAACCTCATCCACTCGCAGCATTCACCAATCTCTTATAGTTCAAATCGCGATCTGAAACCATCATCCTTTTGATTGGTAAAAACTACAAAAAACCGGACGAAACTGCACCCGGCCGCCATTATGCGCCCAGGACGTCATTTTCTTTGTTCCCTGGACGAGGGGGGCCAACACGCCCAGCCGATTATTCAGTGACTAGCTGAAAGCGGCAAGGCAACCAGCGGGCCGGGGAATGCTCAGCCTCAAGAACACGGTTTCGTGCATCTGGGGTTGGTCTGTCGTCAGAATTGCTTTCTTGTTCGGTGCCACGCGAGTGCCATGATCTGCCAGGGCCTCCAAGCCAAGACATGCACACCAATCACCGCGTACTACCTGCAGAACACTATCAGGCAATTGCCAGAGGGTTCTGCAGGTAAGCGAAGCTGAGGAGCTTGTCTTGGCTCAGGACATTTCTTCCTGGGGGATTTCCTCAGAAGTTTATGAGAAAGTTGTGAACTGTGTTTCTGACCTTTTCCGATTTCAGTATCAGGCAGACTCGCAATCAAAATGATTACCGATATTGCAATACTTTCTGACCCTTTCAACGCCTTCATCATTTGTGGAGCTGGATGCGTGCTTTACTGTATCATTCTGAGTCTATGGCGGCTCTATTTTAGTCCTATTGCGAAATTTCCTGGTCCCAGGCTAGCCGCACTTACCTACCATGTCGAGATCTACTACGAACTGTTCCATGGAGAAGGCGGGCAATTTCCGTTCAAGTATCAGAAATGGCACCAGCAATACGGTCTGTTCATGAATACTCCTGGGCGAATTCTGCTCATGTCTCTCAGGTCCAATCATTCGCATCACTCCGGATGAGCTACACATTCAGGACTCAGCATACCATGAGACAATGTACTCGCCCAACAGGCCTGTAAACAAGCCAGAGAAAATTGCTCACCGATTTGGGAACCCCCTATCCGCGTTTGCTACCCCGAAACATGACAAACATCGGCAGCGACGTTCCGCACTCAACCCCTTCTTCTCAAAAAGAAAAGTCGCGCAGTTTGCACCGGAGATCCAGAAGAGCATGCAAAAGATTCTGGCTCGCCTCGAACGGGAGTACGTAGGCACAGGTCGTGTTCTGAGTCTAAACAGGATGTGGGGCTGTCTATCATCCGATACGATCGTCGCCTTTGCGTACGAGAGACACTACAATTTCATCGAGAGTCCAGAGTTCCACTCTGCTCTGAACCAAGCCATGATTGATCTTCTTGAACCGACCCACTGGCTGGTTCATGTGCCGCTCGTGGCGCGCGTCTTGCAGTCGCTTCCTGACCGCATCGTGAGGTTCTTGCAGCCGCAGATGGATTCTGTGATTCACTTCAATACTGTGAGCCAATTTTGCCCTCTCGTTCCTGATGGATCAGTGAATGCTAACATTCACAGGAACTTACTTCGCAAATTGTCGAGGTGCTTTCCGCTGGAGGCAAAGGCGAAAAGAACGCAGGCACAATCTTCAGCTCTCTGCTTCATTCCAACCTCCCTGCCGAAGAGCTGACCCTGACGCGACTCCAACATGAATCAATCAGCATCATCGGAGCCGGAGTTGAGTCAACAATGCGCACCTTGGTAGTTGCGTGTTTCCACATCTTCGACAACCCAAAAATCAAGGAGAAGTTGGTGGCCGAACTCACGGAAGCAATTCCAGATGCCCAGAACTTCCCAAACTGGGATCGCCTGGCCCAACTCCCGTACCTTTCGGCGTGCATTGAAGAAGCGCTGCGTCTCAGCTACGGAACATCCCAGCGCATGCCGCGAGCCTCCCCCAATGGGACACTGCAATATCGCAAATGGACTATCCCGGCTGGCACTATGGTCTCGATGGATACTTACGCCGTGTCTCACGATGAGGACATATTCCCAGACTCCTTCTCTTTCATTCCCGAACGGTGGCTGGGCGATCCAAAGGCTCCGGATGGCAGGCAGCTGAGCCGATATATGGTTTCGTTTGGCAAGGGCACTCGTAGCTGCACGGGCATCCAGCTCGGATATGCTGAACTGTATATCGGATTGGCAAACTTCTTCCGTTCACCGCTTATCTCTGGTGCAAAACTCTACGAGACTGACAAATCGGATGTTGAGCTGGCGAGAGATCGTTTTGCGCCTCGGCCGAAACTGGGAAGTTTGGGGGTCAGAATCGCCTTTCAGTGAGATGCGCGTCAGGAGGGTGTTGTGTCAGGAGAGAAATCTTTACTAGCCTTGGTCTCGGATTTTGTCACGATGTATACTTTATAACTGCGCTCCGTCCGATAATGAGTTACGGCCTTCGCAGCACTCATTCACATTGCTTTGAAATGGAGATGGCTCTGAAGAAGACAATCTTGATAGATGAATAGATTAAATGACAAGATGAACTGCGACACAAGATGAAAAGAGGATAGAAAGAAGAAAGAGAAAAGGAGCAATCTCAGTCCTGAGCCAAATCCAAGAAGACTTTAAACCTCACGGATCGATGCCGCTAAGCCATTATTCTGTGCAGAAACTTCACTTGTTGATTCATGAGCAGTGGAAACTCTTCCCCGCTCAAAACGTTGAGGTGGCCTTTTCCAGGAGCAATGAGTGACTTCTTAGGTTCCGGGAAAGTGTCAAACAAAGCAAGCTGCTCCTCAGGAGGCGAAATGACGTCCTTCTCCGGGATAATCATCATCGTCGGCGTCGGCGTCATGTGCCTCATGATGCCGTGGGGTTGCCAGACAACAAGCTTGTAGTACGACTGCAATGTGGTCTGGTTCTCGTAATTGGGGGCACCGCGCGCTTTGGCGTTGATCATGTAATCGAGCTCGTCCGCGCTCGTCTGGAAACCCAAGCCGGCGGGGTTCTTCCCATCAGGCATCAAGACAGGCAGGAACAGTGGCGAGTTGCCGAGGGCCTGGGATTGCCTGTCTCGCATGCTTTGGAGGAGGACCTTGGGAAATTTCTCAGGCGTGTATTCGAAGTTCAGGAGTGGACAAATGGCGATGCACAGACGAGCCCTCTTGTCCATACTCGCAGCGCAGAGAGCGATGGTCGCAGAAAAGGACATTCCCCAGAACGCTACCCGGCGAGCGTCGACTGATGGTTGAGCCATGAGGAACGAGAGAGCGTCCGAGTAGTCTGAGACTTGCTTGACTGGGTCGATGTCGTTGCGCGGAAGACCTTCGCTCTCGCCCAAAGACCGCGGATCATAGACCAACGCGTTAATACCGTTGCGTTGGAAGTGCTCAGCAACGTCCAGGACGAACATTTCCTTGACGCAGTTGAACTACCTTGTTGTTAGTTTGAGAACTTATGGGACTTGCAAAATGCTCACGCCGGGGGTAATGACGATGCCGGGGCCTCTGTTGGCAGTGGGGAAGAAGAAACCCCGCAGAAGGAGGCCATCAATGGTCTTGAACTCGACTTTGCGCAAGTTGGACATGGTGGAAAGTGCCGTTGAGCTTTGAGACTGCAGGATTTGAGTGATGATTGTGACGAGGATAGTAGCTGATTGAGGTACGCCGGTCTGGCTTTATGTAGAGTTCTTCTCCAGCATAGTAACGCGATCCCACCCATGACGGGAATACCATCGCAGGCGTGTTGAGAACTTAGAGTCTAGATTCACGCAGCCCTCCGATGTTGTTGCGACTGAACGAGGCTGGTATCAGGCCTGGAGGCTCGGGAATTGCCACCTGCAGTCCAATGCTTGTATGTCGTTGTGGATTTTGGATCGTGCCAGAGTTTGAGGAGAGCCACCAAAGCTGGAGGGGTCGAGAGCCGCCTTTGGAAGAGTAGAGACGCAAGATCTGGAAATCTAGACTCGTCAGTTGAAGAGTCTGGGACTTGCTTGTACTCCACCAAGCCCCAGGCTTGTGTCTCCTGGCGGTACAAGGCCGTTGAGAAATAGGGGT